TAAGTCCTTGTACTCGCTGAAAATGGTACGAGTATAATTGCTGTTCTCGCAAAATTCTCCACACTGTCACGTATGCCGCAGTTTCCATTCTTGCTATTCTTCGAGTACTGTCTTCAGTATTCCTTTCAACATGATGGAGGACACGCTCTTAAAATTTCTATTAATCGGTCTACTAGTGTGTGAACTTCTTCTCTGGAAGCAACCAGTCTCTCGTAGAAGTTCGTGTGTTCTTTGAAATGTTTTCTTGTTTGATATACGCCGATTGGGAAAATATTCCGAGTATAAACGTTTTGCTTCACTTGCATTACACATAGCGAGAGCCGACACATCAGATGCATATCTGTCATTTCTAAAGTAGAACAATGTTCCATTATCGCTTCAAACACGATCTTAAACGACATGCATTACGATTATTAGTAAGAACTGAACTGATTTAGAGAGTATTGCGAAATTTGCTGAATCTTCAAACGAAAGTCGCACGAAAGATATCAAGTAAGTATTATTTGTAAACAGTGCGAATTCTTGCTTACGAACTATTGCTGTCTACGGAAAGAGAGGTCGGACAGAGAGTTTGCTCTGTTTATAAAATTCATTATATCTCATAAACGACATACATTTATATATTTATATTTTTTTCATTATTTTTAGGCGTACAATCAGCTCCCGAAGTGCGTCCCACTATATTATACTGGTTGTTACGAAACAGCCTTTATAATATATTCGTGAAAGGAATTCGAATAATTTCGTGGATCGATTCTTCGTTAACTATATACTTCGTTATATTTATTCTAGCGCGTTGTCGATATTTAGAAGGTTTATCCAGAATTTAGTAGAAGTATCGATCAACGGCACGGCAATAAAGAGAATCGTGGACACAGTCGAATTTACTATTTGCACACGTGGGATCAAAGTTTTATTTTAATATGCTTGCCCGGTGTATCCCGAACGGAAGTCGCAACTACCGGCGAAATCAATTTCGAAATGAAAACCGTTTGCGTCGCGACGCCTGCAGCGTCGCCGAAATCCAAACACTCGCGATCGCTGTTCTAAAACGCAAACTTCGCCCGTTTAATAGAAAACGAAGGGAAAAGTCCGGGGGCGACCTTACTCCGTCGCGAACCAATTTTCCATCGGGATTGCGAGCCGGGAAGATTCGCCGTTTTTCTCTCGCAAACAAACGAAATTGCAATTGGCGTGCACGACGCGACAAATGGGTACGCGTTCAAACGTACTTGCAGCGAGAGCTGATCTTTCGAAGTAAGAACGAACGAACCTTGAATATCTCTCTTTCACGAACGATTAGATGAGCGATCGTCGAATCCATCGAACGCGACCCTATTAACACTGAACGCCTTGTTAAATGGCCGGTTTAACTATCTAATTTGAAATTCTGCATTCGTTATTACTTGTTTGCTCGTCTAAAACCGGAGGCTGAACTTTTGTACCCTACGTGCCAATTTTTTTTCTCGAAGTGAGCTTCGATGGACTGATAAATTATTTTAACAACAAGAATTATTTTATTATACAGTTACTTTATTATTTTTATAACTTTATTATTTATATAATTATTATATTATATAGTTATTTAAAAAAAAAAAAAAAAACAAGAACGCATTTATAAATAGTATATATGTAGGAAGGACATTAGAAAAAAAAATAACTCGCCTTTTAATGAGATTTATTTCACGTTTTTCCTTCAATGTGAACTGTTTTGTATGCATTTTTATCATCTAAAAGTCACTTTGCGCGTCGTTTCCTATATTAATAATCTTGTGAAAGGAGAATTTGTATTTTGTCATCGGTCGTCAGACTGCTAGGACAACAGGTATATATAAAGTGTCGGTGTAACACGTTTAGCGTTAAACTCGTTAGTTTGAATCACCCTAACGCAACCGAGACTCCGTGCAAGAGCCCGAGAGAAAGCGAAAAGCAAGAAGCATTTATTTCGCCTGGCCTAGTGACCAATAAGCGAGCCTAGACGGCGACGTTCTTAATGCGATATTCGTGCCAGCGTCACCGTGAATTACGTTCGACCCCGATAACCTCGCCTCCGGTCGCGTTCGTTCTCAATGAAAGGCGACGGGCGAACGCTCGCGATCCGCGTAACGAGTTCCTCTAACTCTTGATGGCTTGGTGGATCTTGGGATAGTTGGGATCGATATAGCTGGGCGCATTCCACACTATCGACCTTAATCCTTCGCGAGCAACTCTCGTCACCCGAGACAAACGGGATTTATCGAATGAAATGCGAAATTGAACGGTGGGGAAATATGAAATGCAAACTTGATGGATGGAAGTTGAGGATATGAAATGAAATAATGAGCGTGGAATCGTGACGTTTTTTCATGCGCGTGTTGGTTTGTAATTTCCATTGAAAAATGTGTTTGCGTTTATAGGGTGGGCCGAAAGTTTTTTCCCCGCATATTTTTTTTTTTTTTTTAACAAAACATGAAAATGCGAGGAAAAATTAATTTTATTGACTTGAAATTAAATTCAGGTGTTCAAACGTGATCTTTTTCGTTACGTCTTGAAAATTATTTCTTTCTAATCGGTTGATCGCCGAAGCGTTCACAAATTAATTAAAAGATAATAAAAAGAGTTACGCATTCATTTTAATAGCAAGTGATTTTTCACCCTATATACACACACACACACACACACGTTTCGTCTTCTCTCTTAACGCAGACTCGTTGTTAGTCTTGCTTCAATTGTGCTTAATTACAGCGTGCCTTCTCGTCAACGAATTTTGCACGATCGAGTCATTTATATATCGAACAATCGTGGAGCTTGCCGAGAATTTCTAATTGTTTTCTTTTTTTCTCTGTCTACCAAAGGAGCGTGCGTACCAATCCTCGGAACAGGGAATATCGTTCGTCGTTGGAAACACATTGAGATTCTCACGAGAAACGTCAAATTTCTCTCTCCACGGTACTTCAAGTCGGTCTTCGAGCCTTCGGTACACACTTTCGTTCCACGTGTTCCATCGTTTCGCGTGTTCGATCGTTGGGTAAATACAGCCGAGGAAGCTCTCGTGCGCAAGGGGGTTAATAACCACGTCGCTGTCACTGTCTCCCAGTCGGTTGCGCGAGAGTTTGCCTCACCGCCGCGGCAACTCTTGCGAGTTCCGTTATCGATGCACTCGAAAGGTTCGCGGCAAATTATCCCCCTCATTCACCCGTAGAGACCGGGATTCGACGGTTCGCGTGTGCCCCCATCGAGCTCGAAACGGAGTCGTGCCTCGAGTTTTCCCCTTCCGAGTTCCGGAAGCGACGAGTTCTTTGTCACGATGCGTGCACCACCGCGCCCTTTGTCGGCCGATCTCGCTCCACGTTCAGAAGCTGCTTGCCAAGTTCCATTCAACTTGTCACCCTTGCTACGTGGAAGCGTATTTCGGAACATTTCGGAAAATTTTTACTTAATTTAGTATCGACGTGATGTGCGCGAGTTTCTCTTTTAGGAGGTGGTCAATATCTCTTCTTTTTCCAAGTTCGGATCTGACAGGTCTTTAAGCTTTTGCCGAGGGCTAAGAAACGGCTTGAATAAAATTAATTCGAGAGACGAGGACGGGTGTGTTTTTTTAAACTAGACTCTTCCTCGCTTAAAACTTCGCTACGTTTCGGCTCGATTAATTGCTGTTTGACCCTTTAACAGTTTAGAGCGTCTGGACGACGGCTGTTACATTAACAGCTCGGCTATTCCGCGTCTTGAACACGTATTACTTGAGAAACATGTAATTCGTGTTTTTGAATTAGTTCAGAAACGTTAACAAGCATGTGCACATTGTGAAACAGAAACGTTGAATATTTCAAGATCTTTTCAGAATTCCTCAGTCTTAATCCCTCGACGTACGAATTATGTAAATGAAATCCGACACGTACGAATTCGAAAAATGATATTTATTATTCATTCAAGTCGGTAACTCAGAATATAAAATACCTGGAAAAATATTTTTTTATATTCTCATATAGGTATCAACCTGCAAACGTTTCGTCATTGTCTCGACTTTAACTTAGGAAACGCATGACGTCGTTATATGTCAAGTTAACATCTTGCGCTGGAATGACGTACCACGCACGTCGAGAATTTTTTGTCCCAAAGTGCAACATTTTCTCAGTTTTAAGTATATTTAAATGTAATCGAGGCAAAACAAATGACAAGTTTATTACTTGTTAATAATTTCTGTCCAGTGACATCATACCGACGAGTTAAAAAGAAAAAGAAAGCGATGAATACAAGCGATTGTATACGATTCGGTCACTCGTTATGGTCCGCGAAAACCAGTCGCCAGCGCAAGTGGTTAGAATTAATCTGTATTGTCAAAGTTTTATTATTAGATCAATTTAACTTTCGATCAAAATATTTTTAATGGAAACCAGTTAATAACCACTGCGATCCATTCGAACTAACCGAATGCGTCCCTCGGGCGTTTCAGAGACCCATCGGATATAGTAGAATATCCATTTTTTCTCTTTTTTTTTTTTTTTCCTCTCCATTAACAGCGAATCTTCTTCGAAACGCGCTTGAGATTACTAATTGTAAGAAACAAACCAGTGCTCTTTCTTCTCAAGTTTTTCTTTATCTTGCGGGCGAATCCACAGCCGATAACTAGACGCTTTCAGGCTGTTGTAACACGGTTTTCCAACTTCTTTCTCGCCAGTAGCCTCGTTTCGGTTTCTTCGTCTCGGTTTTTCCCTCGATTTTTCTCGATCTTTTTTTCTTTTTTTTTTTTTCTTCTCCTTCTCCGCCGTTCTTCCTTTCACGGTCATCTTCGAGCCCGAAAGTTTCCGGGGGGCGGCGTGATGCGAAAAGTTTGAAATGGTTTTCTTTAGACGGACCTTCTTCGCGACGTTTTATCCGCTACATGCAAATTTTCAGCGCCCGTTCGGAATTCGCCCCGGCCACTTTTGACCTCGCCTCGAGCGGCGAGATTTCGTCAGGAGTAATCGAGTCCGATGCCAGTTTCTTCCAACTTCAGTCTGTAGCCTCTTCGTTTGCTTCTTTGTGCTCTTCTCTTTGTTAATTTCTAATACCGACTCGTTTCAACGTCAATCGAACTTCGTTCTCGCTTCATTTTCTAATTAACTTTACTGAGAATCGTGGATTAAATTCATTTTAGTGGGTTTGTCCAGAAGGTATGTCAAAATTCTTAACAATACCTTTGTTGGAACTCTCGCTTATTAACGCGTAGGACCCGGTGGAAACTAAAAACGTAGCTTCCAATTCTGTATTTTTTAGTGAAAATTGTTCACTGACGCTTCTTCTTTCCTCAATTTCTATAAATATTACCGAAACTTTCCTGAGTCTTTCTCTTTCTCTTCTTTTTTTATTTCTTCAATCGCCGTAATAAAAATCTTCTCAAACTTTCGACTTTGATCCTGCATTTTTCAATAAAAATTGTTCACTGACTCTTCTTCTTTCTGATCTCTTTTATTTTCTCAATTTCTATAAATATTACCGAAACTTTCCTGATTCTTTGCCCTTTTTGCTCCGTTTCTATTTCATCAATCACTGCAATGAAAATCTTCGACTCTCGTCAAACCTTCGACTCTCCACGGTATCTTTATCTCCGACTATTTCGTCGTTTCGATTATACTCCGATATAAATATATACATATATATACACGTACGCATCCAGCGATACTACATAAATCACCGGCGCTAATTCTTCTCTCGGAACTTCGAAAACGATCGCACACCTGCATATTCCCCGTGTAAAACTTCGGAGTCATATCCTGTGCCATCAATTATACTTCGCCATAAGGTGTTACGAGAGAAACAGGAAAGTTTCCAAGCGCGGTTCCAATCGCGAGCTCGATCTTGACGGTGCTTCCAACACCGTTTCCCTGATTTATCTTTCTTCCCAATATTCCCTGTGCACAGAACCCGCCCTTCTCTCCCCCCCCCCCCCACCTCTCTCTCTCTCTCTCTCTCTCTCTCTTTCGCGACTTTGATCAACGACGTGTTACAAAGCGTGCATTAGTTAATGAGCGTAATCAGCTTAATAAGAATCGTACGTTTGCATCTCTGACGCGGATCCCCGAGGCGGTATATTACCTCGGTCCCGATGTAATCGCGTTAACTAACGTGTACCCGGCGAAAGAGAGAGAGAGAGAGAGAGAGAGAGAGAGAGAGAGAGAGAGGCTCAAAGAAGATGCACGAGAGTAGCCATTCCGTTTCTGCAGCTGCCGCATTTTGTCTAATGGACCTACGGCTTTGAGCCCCTGACGTTTCTGCCATTGAGCGTATTTTTTCAACACTCTGTGTTCTCTCTCTTTCTCTACGTGAAATGTGTGTGTCTGTAACAAAAAAAAAAAAAGAAAAAAGTGAGAGAGAGAGAGAAAATAACCTAGTAGGGTAGCTACTAGAGAAGTTCCCTGAAAATAGGGGGAAAAGTTTAGCACCCGGAATCTTTCGAAACTCTGACACTTAACCTTAAAATAAGGTTAACGCCGCCGCGACTCGTGTAGTCGCGTGCCCGTATTTAGTATCTTCTTCGGTTCTATCCGTTTTGTCGTACCATATATATATATATTTTTCGGAAATATCATACGTTACCACGCACGGTTACAAATTTCGGTAATTTGTAATTCTGAATCCGCGTTAACACGAGCGGAGATGTAATTTTTGATCGATGTCGGTGAAATGAATTCGCTCGATCAACGCGGACACGAATTTGTTGGAACCAAGTCGCGGTTCGGCCGCGAATATGTATTATATGTCGTTGGTTGCGTTGCGCCGGAGAAAGTTGTATTCGCCGACCGGTTGTCGCGCATGAGAGAATGAATAATCGCGAAGGGGGATCGCGAAAGTGTATGCAAAACACGAACAAAACCGACGGCGCCAATTAGGCAGTCGTACAACGTGTTAATCGCGGCCAATAAGGCGTAATGATACGCGGCGGATAGATTTGCAACTGTTCTTTGTCTGTGAATTAAAATCCTCGCCTTATCGCCGCTCGGTTTTTGTCGTTCTCATTAGCCGGGGAAATGCGGTTACGTAAAATCATTTTTATATCGCTTCGCTGGCTATTAATCTTCCGTCTAGCAAACACATCGCGGCGCTTTGCATAAATTTCAATCCATCTATCAATCTCGTGGTAATAATTAAATACGTGTCTCTAGGAAGTCACGTTCAAGAGAGAAATTGAAATATTCTTGATTAATCTTTGAACGTCACAACCTTGTGATATTTGTAATAACTTTAGGATATATAACTTTGTGACAATTGTAATTTTCAATATTTATAATTTTATATTGTTGACACTTGTTTTAAATGCTCGTAATTTTATTGTAATTTTAAATATTCATGATCCTGTGACGAAATGAGATCTGTTTTTTTTTTTTTTTTTTTGCAAAGGCGGGATTTACAATTCATAGTCAATGTGACTCGCAACTTCTTCGAAACATATCGCGTAAGTATCTTGCATAAATTTCAATTCATCGATAATCAAATGTCTCTAGGAAACGTTCGAGAAAAATTGAAATATTCTTGATTAATTTTAAATTGAAATCCGGAGGCTGCGACGAAGTAAGATTTGATTCTTGCGAAAAACAAGGCTTAGTCACTATGAAACGTATCACAGTATTTTGCATAAATTTCAATGCATCTATTAATCTAGAAAACGTTCGGAAGTAAAATTGAAATATTCTTCATTAATTTTAAACGTTATAACGTTGAATATTCGCGAGCTTGCGACGAAATAAGACTTGATTTTTTTTTAATAGTTAATCACTGTGACTTTTAAGTTTTTCGAAACACACATTGCAGCATTTAACATAAATATCAGTCTGTCAATCTTCTGTCTCTAGAAAATATTCGCAGGAACGAATCTTTAAATATTCTCGATTAATTTTAAATCTTCGACAATTTGAACTATTCACGATAAAGTACGATTTGACAAAAAGCAAGGATCATCGGTCTCCTGACTTTTTCGAGACGTACGAAGACAGTGCTCTTTAGACAGAAATTTCAGTCGGCACGTACTATATATGTGTATGTTTTCGAGAAACGTTTGACGAAAGAGATATTCGCGAAATATTTGGAGATCTCCAGCGTGATAAAATAAGATTTCCACCTCTTTCGAACTGGTGTATCCATCGAGTCGAAATCGCAGAGACTCATAGTCTCACGAACCATGAGAAGAAAGGTCCCTGGTAGCCTTTCGGAGAGATTCGAAGCTCCGTTCGAAGCTAGCAGCGTTACGGAGCGTGTAATCTCGCGACGATCGCCCTCCGGTTTTCCTCCGAGCGGGCACAAAAGGCTCGTTCACGTGTGAGCTACGAAAAGACGCTTAATTCGAAAGGCGGCCGATGAAATATCGGGGCCGTGTGTCCCGTCAGTTCGATTTGACCCTTTTGAAAACGCCTATTCGGCCCGATAGGCTCGAGGGAGATCGAGAAGTGAACGAGTTTGCTGGCCGAGTGGCATATCGAGTCTGGCAACACGGATGAAACGAGGCCTCCGGTAAAGGAGGCCAGGGAATCAGAAAAGAAAAGAAAAGAAAAGAAAAGAAAAGAAAAAAAAAGAAAAGAAAAGGAAAGAAAAGAAAAATAGTAAAGAGGAGAAAATGGGAGCCGAGAGTGAAAGAGAGAGCGAACGAAAGAGGAAGCTGCAACAGGAACACGAGGATAACACGCATACCTGGCGTGCACCGACTACCTGCCCTAGGTTAACTCCATCGCTACGAGGCGTAATGCGTTGCTTCTTAGCTTGTATTCGTTGCTCTCTCTGGGTCGTTGGCCCTCGCCAAGGGTCGAAGAAGAATTGAAGAATTCGCTGACTAACTAGTCTGGCCCCGCTCGTTCGCCAGGCCTTCTGCCAGCGAAATTTTACCAACAACGGTTTACCAAATGGTGTTGATTTGGTGCGTTTTCTTTTTCACTTCGTTCGTTTTTTTTTTTTTTTCTTTTTTTTCTTTAAATGTTTCAACCGAGAGCCGTTCGCGAGTGAAAGTAAAATTTCCGAGGCGAGCAAAGGATTGCGAACGAAATTTTGAACGTGGAATTTCAGTCCGGAACGAAAGACAATAATTCAATAACCCTCGTGATTATTGTTAACCCTTTGCCTGCAATTTTCTTTCTAACATTCTTGGATAAGCGTTACTCACTGTTAACCCTCCTACTGTGCCGAGGTCACAGTTTTGACCTGCGCTGGGAGTTGCTTGTGTTAGTGATCGCACTAACGCATCATGCGGCTGTGTGCCATGTGTTTGCCAAATTGCCCAAGTGACGACGACTAAAGACGAAAAAAAAAAATCAGTTTCTGGTAACGTTCTGAGGAAGAAAGACGTGTGCAGCAAAGCGAAGCAATCTTTTGTTTCAAAGTTTACTTCATATTTTAGTGTTTTTATTATTGTTTTAGTATTTTAGTAGTTAGTATTTAATAATTTGTATTATTTTTTTTAGTATTTAGTATTTTATACTATTTTTGTATTTGGTATTTTATATTATTTTCGTGTTTACTATTTAGATTTTAGTTTTTAGCACCATTTTAATATTTTACTATTTTTATTATTAATGTACTGTTTTTATTATTATTTTTGTTCTTTTTATTACTTTTTTCCCGTTGTTTCTATTTGTTGACGCAATGTCCTCATTGCCAGCGAGCAATCTTTCTTTGTCTTCTTTTGCTCAATCTGCACAAGACGTTCCTGGCAGTGAATGACATAAATGTATAGTAAATATATATAACTTTATTATTCATGTGACTATATTTATTATACATGTTCCTATATGAGTTGGATGTCTGTCACTGTGTTGGTACAATATCGGTGAGCCGTCCGAACAATCCTAAATATGCATTAGTGGCATATCCGTGTGAATCAAAATGACCCCGGCACAGAACGCTGAGGTTCAGTAGTCGGAGGGTTAATTACTATTAACTTTATTTCTAGATACAAAATGTCGAAACGTTATTTACAATTTGTACTCGTTGACTCGTTCAATTTAGTGAAATGGGACTTAAAGTTCGAAGCAGAATTGCAGTTTGCTCTCTCCTTTAAATCGGAACCGAATGATTTATACCGCGAGTGTAGCTCGAAAAGAACAATTCGAAATTAGTAGAGCATCGAATAGAATGTCAAAATAAAACTTTTTTGACAAACAATTTTACAAATTCAGTCTTCGATTTTTATGTCACTGCTCTTTTCGTATCAAAATATATTTATGATCGTTTTCCTCCTCTCTCAAACAAAAAAAAAAAGACAATCACTCTTACTAGCACTAAGATACACAATCACAAACAGAGGAGCAATTTCTTCGACGCAAGCAATTCCATTTCACACGACGTGGGTGACTGTCTCACTGGCGGAATAGTAACAAAAGAGGATCTTCTCACGTCTTTTGACTTCATCGGCTCAAGTGATTACCCTAATAAGATGACAAATTTATTCCGCGGCTCGTCTGTCGTCTCAGCTCTCTCGCGTGGAAATCGCTAGAAAAAACAGTGGAGCTTTTCACGCCGGGCGAGCAAAGCGACGAAACGCGTAAACGTAATCAACGGTACGCAAATACGAGTTCGAGGATCCGTGAGGTTTATTTATAATGCTCCGCTATACACATATAGCCTGTTCTTCCTCTTGAATTAAATAATCGTAGATTTCGACTTGGGACAGAGCCGCGAGCCGCCGAAATTGCGGCGTTCTTCGCGTATTTTTAGAAACGTTTCGTTTCAACGTTGAACCCGAGAATTTTCCGCACGTTTCCCGCTGCTTTCCAACACTACTTTCGTTGAAAACGAAAAGAGAGAATAGAGTTGCTAATAAACGGACTTCTCCGAGTCGCGTTCGGAATTTCTCCAGGAAATTTCAGTTTGTAATATATCTTCCCTCCCGACGACGTTGAAAGATTATATTATACATTGTAAAAATACATCACGTACGTTGTACGTACAATGCGCGATGAAAATATTTTAACACTTAACGCAGACGAGAATTTTACATCCATATTGTACGTTTTATGTAATGAGATTCGGTTGTCACGATTATATTGGTCTATCAATCTAGGGCAAATATGGGGTGAGCTAAGAATTACTTTCTACTGAAATAAATCCGTATAAATTTCTTTGTTATATGTTAAATAAAATCTATATTATATTATATATTAAGAATTTTAGTTTGAAATTAATAAAATTAAATATTTCTTACATTGATATTTTATCCAAAAAAGAAAATGGGCGGGAAGAAACTTTTTGTCCACCCTATATGTACGAATGTCACGTAAACGCGCATCCAGTGAGAGATTAGCATACAGCCGTCCATTCACTAGACAGCCCAGTTCGACAAATTCTTCGAAAATTAATTTTACCAACAACAAGTTCCACTGAATCATCGACAAGTAACATTTTTCCCCCTCTCCTCGTGAGGCCCTTAATCAATCGATAACATAAGTTATTACAGAGATATCATCGGCCGACTATTAGGTGGCCGATTTTGGAACAACGATCGTTGTACACGGCTAACGGGGGCACGGCATTAATGACCACGTTAATACGAACTTTATCAAATACGGTAATGCGGTTGACAAACTGGTATTATGCCTTACTCGCGAACCGCAACAGGCGATTAGGTTTGCAAATTGCATTCGGTCGCAGGGACAATCGATCCGGCGCTGTCGATTACCGAAAACGTAATTAAATTTTACAATAGGACCGATTCATTACGCGCCGCGAAACAGATCCGCGTCCGTTCCCGAACCCTTTCCATTGTTTCGCGCTCAGGTCGGGCTCGGGTCAAGTGTAATAAACGCTGAAAAAGCGAGGGAAAAAGGGGGAAACAGATCGAAACGTCGAAGGTTATTAAACACATTCTCGCTTCTCTGCGTAATTTATTAAGAAACGAGGAACGTTTCGTCGAACGAGTCTCTCTTTCTCTCTCTCTTTCTCTTTTCGGAACATTGTTACATTGTAACGATATAATTAAAAATTATACTTTACAGCAGAGGTGGCTAACTGGCGACTCTTACCCCTACTTTCCTGATCGCCACCCCTTTCATTGCATCGATCTCTCCACTACATTGAAATTTCCTCGTGCATGAATCCCACTCTCTCAGTCTGTTGAATTTCCCTACCAAGCCAAGCGGAGAGATCGATGCAGTGGAGGGGATAGCGCTGGCGACGAGGAGAGTAGGGGTAAGGACCGCCAGTTAGCTACCTCTACTTTACAGTTTCACTGAACTATTTATTTGAATAAAACAAGACTTTCACACACCGGAACTGGATAGATTTAAAAATACAATACTGGCTTGTGCTTGCTGCAATGCTGAACTATTTCGGCCTGTGAATTCTTTCTACTGCGCTTATATTATCTTTCGGTCGTTGCTGGTTAAAATATCTTACGACGACTCATGCATGATTAATTCCTAGCAACATTGTACAACTCGTATCGCTGTGATCTCTGATGTTATCTTTCTCCGTAGTTGCGTTTTTAAGGGGAACGAGTTCAAAAAGTGTCTTATAATCCTCGCACCCTGGGCTCAAGGCATTTTTGAAACACACACTCCGCGCTGTATGCAGCTTATGTGCAGGTATTCGGACACTCGCGTGGCCTGAAACTTTCCCAATATACTCGCGATAGTGAAGTTCCGACGGATGGAATTAAATTTGAAAGTGATTCTACTCCATGAACAATCCTCAAACATGGTACAACTTGGAAAATTAAAATCAAATCATGTGGATGAGTACCGAGTTTCTTCCTCTCCCTCTCTTTCTTCTCTTAACAGTATGTACACCGTTTGCTTCATTCATTTCGGAATTCACCGAGTGTAGATATTTCTTCTTTTTTTTTTTTTTTTTTNTTTTTTTTTTTTCTTTTCACTTCAATCCCATTCCGTCGGGTACAGATTAATTACAAAGTTTCTTCTTTTAATCGCTCTGAAAATTATGAGATTAACTCTCCTCCACCCGTGCCGCTTGGTTTTAAACAAACCGCGGAGCAAATCGGATCGATGAAAAATCCCAAGGATCGCGGCGGGATTAATTCGTCGAATCCGCTCCGAAGCTTCACAATCCGACGTAGCGTAAAATATACGTAGCGGAATGATAGCGCGAGGTTCGACGGTAAATCCAATCAGTGGGAAACACGGAGTAGGAAAATATTCCTCTCGCGCGCGTAGATTCTCGCTCTCCTTGACCTCTCTCTGATTTTCAGTTGCGTTATCTCTGTGATAACGGAGTTTTCTGCGTCGCCAGACACAAACACACACATACACACATACACACAGCACATAATCGAACGATCCGGCCAGAGTTAATTCGCTAATTCTGTTAATGACAATTTATCCGTTCCGCGAGAACGTTGCCCCACCCCCTCTCCAGGATTTTAATGAAGTCGCGACGCGGAAAAAGCCGGTCTGTTTGCCTTGGGAAGCGGGTCAGGATATTCGAATCGGAGTAATCGTCGCTCTTTAACCGCCAGTCGATACACACGACGCGGTGAAATTACCAATCGAGCCCCCGGATCGATAAACGATTTCATTGGAAAACGGCCAAAATCCATTACGTAGAGCCGGGGCCCACACGCTCTAGGCAAATCGGTCCGACTGCTCGGGCGTACGTAATGAAGAGGCGCGGGGGAGGGAGGGGGGCACCGATGTAATCGTCTTAGCTTCGATTTTCCAATTGGCTCGTCTCCCACAAACAACGTAAGAGACGACGTATCCACCTAGCTTCCAGAGGACTCTTCTTTCTTTCTTTTTTTTTTTTTTTTGCGCACGCGATAGGATTAGCAATTTGTTGTTTTGCTCGTGATAAGGTTGCACAAATTGCGCACGCACGAAAAGTAGGAAAATTACACGTGTTGGAATCATTAATCTTCGACGTTTCGATTGTTGTAACAGTCGCCAAGAACTTGAAATTGCTTGACAAAATTTCACCGAACACTCGCAACGTGAAAAAGTATATGAAATATCGAAGATACAACGCTTTCTATAATCTTCGATAGGTAAAATGACTTTCTAGAGACTGGAAGTGCCAAAGTGGTGAAAGCGATCGATTTATAATTTCTGTTATAAATTTTGTAAATACGTAGCAGTTCATTTTTAGATATTTAAATGATTCTTCGTAAAATGAAAGCTTGTGCAAATTATTGTTTTCAGTGTCTCTGATGGAAAATTTTCTGCCTCAGCCGTATCAGATAGCTGTTAAGCGTTAATCATACGATTCTCTTAATTAAACATACGAATTTGCGAATTTAAGAAAAAATCCGCAGTCTGTCAATGACATGTTCCGTATGCTTCAATCAGTCGAGAAACATTCTAACTCACTCGCCAAGATGAATCTCGAATCGATTGTTAACCGTGAACCGCATCTCGGAATAGCACGCGTATTGCGTGAAGTGTCGCAGATAAAATATTGCAGTAAAAAATAATCACAAACCATATGCGTCAGTTGGAATTCCACTGAGCAACAGATACTTGGAACTCTACCGAGCAGGAAGAGACTCTGTGACTCAACTTTCACTGCTGATCGATTTAATACCATCGGAGCAAAAGGAGAATGCTGCATGAAAATGTTCAACGTTTTCGATTTAGAATCGACGAATTTTCACTGTAATAACGAAGATGATCGCGTGCTCGATACTCTTCCATATTGAATTAGAAGAGTTTGTTTGACGAGGTTTCACGGTGTACCAGCTCTTCTATGCGCGCAAGTTCGACGAAGCCTCGTTGACTGACGCAGTTGCTTTTTCAAAGGCTGTCTTAACTTCCTGTGCCTTTGACAACGCGTTAACAAGTTAGTCGCGAAGAGGCTCGCTACGATGATAAAGTCTTGAACAAAGTTAAAACGATATCGAGTTAAAACGATGTGCGTTTCGGATCTTTTGACAGGAAATTGTCTTACGCGACTCTAGTCTCGCGTGGGTGAATAAATCGGTTACGGAGCGACGATCTGGGATAACATTCGAAGATTTTTCTCCTCTTCTCTTGATTCTTTGTGTCAGAAGATTGAACTGTTGTTTGTCTTGCCGTTTCTTTGCTAGCTATTTAAACTAGTAATTGCTAATACAACTTGCAATCCTTCGCCTCTTTCTTTCTCGTTTTATCTTTGCAAACTCTCTTATTTGGCTCATTAACTTTGAATTCTGATAATTTAATTGACTTTCGAGGGATGGGTGATTTGGACGGAGAATCTCAATTACATTAATTGGTAACTATTATCAAATTGTTGCTAAATTTAAACCAACATTCCATTTTGAATATGTCGTATATATTTTTGGTCTTGATCAACTATGAATTCTGATAATTTAATTGACTTTCGAAGGACGGTTAAAGGATGATTTAGACAGAGAATCTCAATTACATCGATTTTTACATAATTGGTATTAAAATTTAAATATCAGCAGAGTTAAAATCAAACCAGCACTCCACGTTGAATATTTCCTATTCCTGGTCCTTTAAATTTCGCATAAGTGTTTAAAAACCGGTCCAAGAGAAATACATCAGAATTTTGGCTGGAAATTCACAGGGCAAAAAAAAAAAAAGAAAAAAAAGGAAAGAGATCTATCGAAAATTCAACATCCGAGCACAGCGAACAGACTGCACCTGAGGCACCTAGACGAGAGATAGATATTAATGTTTCTGGGTTTGCTGGATCCTCGATCAGGCTGCTTCGCTGGCAACCACCGGCACAATATCCCCGAGTCACGTGTACACGTTGCGGTGTTACAGCATTGTGTACCCGCAGGATGACACTCGCAATTAAGTTCACTCCCTCGTTGGCCACGAATACATCACGCTCTCAAAGCGAGGAAGCAATGGAGTAAAATGCCCGGCATTTGGCACCGTGTCAGTGGCTGCTAGGCGTTCTGAACTTGAAGCTTGGGAAGAAACAATCCTGGCCTCGCTCTCTCTCTCCTATTATTAATTTCTGCCATTCGCCCAAACACACTCCGGACTAATGAACATTCGAATGTTCGCGATATTTATCTCTGGTTCATTTTGCGGTTAGAACGTAACACGGTGAATTACTGCGATTTCCTCACGACGAAAAGAGAAAGAAGAATGTCAAATTGAAATTGTTTGGAATACGATTCAGTTGAAAAGATGACTCCTTTTTTTAATTATAAATGTCATTTTCTCGATAGAAATTCACAGTGCAAAATCATATTGTCCATTCAATATTGGAAGAATTATTGGAGTGGAGAAAGATCAGTTCGCAAAATGAATTGCAACATTATTTAGTGATTCGCTTCAAAATCAGACTAATTCGTAATTTCCCTGGTGATAATAAAATTTCTACGACAATGAAGAAAATACCACGGTATCGTGAGAATTAAACTTGTGATTTTCATTTGCTCGATAGAAATTCATAACCCAAAACTCGATTACTCGGTAAATTATTGTGGAAAATGCTGAATATAAAAAATGAAATAATTCGCTGTTCTCGCTCAAAAACTCGGAATAATTTCTTCGTAATTTGGCCGGCAGCAAAATTCTACGACAGTAAAGTAAGAGAAACTCCACGGCGTTACGAACAAAACAAAACAAAAAAAAATAAAAGAAAAGAAAGAAGAAAAAATAGATAATTTTTCGGACGGGTGTATAGTTGAACGTGCTTCGTCTCGGGTTATCTCGACGCGACGCTTCGGATGAACAGCGTGATGTCTCGTTACATATTGCGTGTACAAACTTTCGCCGTAATTCAACACGGGGACCCGCGATTCCGCGTTACGAGGGAAAAATGTGCATTACGAGGCTGGAAACATGAATAGGTAGCAGGCACCTAGGCTCCGGGTGTCGAGAAATTTTAGCCTCGCTTAGGTAAACGCGTCGAATGAACACATCCCGCCCTTTCCCTACCCTTTTCGCCCTCCTCTACGAGACCTGCGGTTTATTACTCGCGCGCGTTTAATCTCTCCCCCCTCCCCCTCCGCTGCCATCGCTGCTGCAAATTTATCGTACTTTTTTTTTTTAAATTCGTATAAAATATTTGTTTCCAAATTTTTTTATAGAGAGAAAGGAGAAGGTCGTCTCTCGTTAATTCTAATTATTCAAAACTTCCAATATTAATTCCACTTGAGGAGAGATCGTGCCGTTTATAAAGGATTATCGAATCATTAATTCGTTCTCTCATCATTTTTCTTATAAGTACATATTGCATTTGTGACATTTTCAGAGTATAGAAATTGTTTTATTCACTAAGTGTTAAGTTTGCAATATGAATGTTGAAAATGAAGAATAAATGTCACATTTTCTGTCCGCGAAGATCGAATTTCATTTAATTCGCGTGTCAAACGCTTAACAATTCTTGTGATTCTTGATGAAATACTTGGAACTTGGACAAGAAATAAAGAGCAGTATTGAGGTTCGACACACGCTTTATAATTAACGGTTTAGTTTATTGTACAAAGTACAATAAACGGTATAGTTTAGTGTACAAAGAACCGTGTTATTTTGGTCAAAAGGATCATACCTTACACACGTGTGTATGTACAAACGCTTACATCTATGCTGGGAAGGTTTGACAATAGGATTGTTTCTACGTCTGTAGAATGTCGCGATTTGCACCTTTAGAGTTCTAACAATTCTCATCAAGTTTAACTCATTGTCAGAGAGAAACCGCATTAATCGTGAAAAGAGACAATACGTACTCGCAATAGTTTTTGTTAAGAATAACTGTAAATCATGTCCAATATGTACACATGTGGATGGATGCGCGACATCTAGTCTTACTATTAAACTACTTGCCTCGTATCTATATTTGTATATGGACCGCATTAAGAAAAACAGTTGAAAACCGGTGTAACTTATAAATCAAAGAGGAAAGTGAGTTGTAAGCTATAAAACCTCCTTAAAAACCGAATATCTTTGTCTTGTAAAATCAAACCTAATACCAAATTAACAACAATTTTCTAAATTGATTAAAAAATTTTCAAAGTTTGCGGTATATATATATAAGAAAGTAGCATTCCTTCCGTTGTTCACCACATTTTATCCGGACAAACTGGTGTAAATCAAAGAGGAAAGTGAGTTGCAAGCTATAAAGCCTCCTTAAAAACCGAATATCTTTGTCTTGTAAAATGAAACCTAATACCAAATTAACAACAATTTTCTAAATTAATTAAAAAATTTTCAAAGTTTGCGGTATATATATAAGAAAGTAGCATTCCTTCCGTTGTTCACCACATTTTATCCGGACAAACCGGTGTAAATCAAAGAGGAAAGTTAGTTGCAAGCTATAAAGCCTCCTTAAAAACCGAATATCTTTGTCTTGTAAAATCAAACCTAATACCAAATTAACAACAGTTTTCTAAATTAGTTAAAAAATGTTCAAAGTTTACGGTATATATATAAGAAAGTAGCGTTCCTTCTGTACTCCACCACGTTTTGTCCGGACAAACCGGTGTAACATATAAATCAAAGAGGAAAGTGAGTTGCAAGCTATAAAGCCTCCTTAAAAACCGAATATCTTTGTTTTGTAAAATCAAACCTAATACCAAATTAACAACAGTTTTCTAAATTAGTTAAAAAATTTTCAAAGTTTACAGTATATATATATATATATATATATATATATATATATATATATATATATATATATATAAGAAAGTAGCGTTCCTTCCGTTGTTCACCACATTTTATCCGGACAAACTGGTGTAACATATAAATCAAAGTGGAAAGTGAGTTGCAAGCTATAAAGCCTCCTTAAAAACCGAATATCTTTGTCTTGTAAAGTCAAACCTAATACCAAATTAACAACAGTTTTCTAAATTAGTTAAAAAATGTTCAAAGTTTACGGTATATATATATACACGAAAGTAGCGTTTCTTCTGTAGTCCACCACGTTTTATCCGGACAAACCGGTGTAACATATAAATCAAAGAGGAAAGTGAGTTGCAAGCTATAAAGCCTCCTTAAAAACCGAATATCTTTGTTTTGTAAAATCAAACCTAATACCAAATTAACAACAGTTTTCTAAATTAGTTAAAACATTTTCAAAGTTTACGGTATATATATAAGAAAGTAGCGTTCCTTCCGTTGTTTACCACGTTTTATCCGGACTAATCGAGGATTAGGGGATGAAGATCGACGAGAGAGAGAGAGAGAGAGAGAGAGAGAGAGAGAGAGAGAGCTAAGAGAGTCGTGTGTTTCAAGAAATCGAGAAGCTGGATGTGGCCGTCGTGTGTCGGTGAGCCGGACGTCCGGCTCCGGAGGTGTCTCTGTGTCAAGGGGACGAGATCGAGAGAAAGGAAGGAGAAAGCAGAGCAGAGGTCTTGGTGTGTACACCGAGTGAAAAGGCCTCTCGATAAGAGACAAAGAAACGAGACGGAAGACTGCACGACGTTGTGGCGAAAAGGGCACGAGAGGAAGGAAGAGAAAGAGAGGGAATGAGACTCTCGGGGAGACTTTCTGGCAAGCTTCGGTCTATTTAAAAGCATTACGATGCTGACGGTCGGGTTACTATGTCCACGGTTAAGTAACCGGTGATGTAACGATGCAATTCAACCTCTTTCCTCCCGTCCTCTTTGCTCGCGGCGGGGGCAGCCAGAGCAGAAAGACCATGGATCGCTTGGCGGACTAGCGACGAAGAGGAAGCGGAGAGCGGGTACATGTCGTGTCCATTGGACGAAACTACCGAGGGAGCCGTTTCTAACGCGTTGCTATACTGCCAGAGAGTATACAGTCCCGACGACAATGCGACAATCTGCACTCGGACTCGAGTTCCAGGCGAACTCCAACGAAGAACTTCTTGTTCTCGGTGCGGATCTCTCGCAGTCGTTCGTTGGATTCTCTTTGCGTTTAGCTAATCTCGTCCGTTGGATCTTCGTTAAGTCGTTGGAGACAGAGGCATCCTCTGGAAAGTCGATGACACTTTAGATAGTTTCGGAGCTGTCGATCTTGGTGATATTTGCAGCCTCGAAAGCGAGGCACCTCGAAACTGTCAGACTCTAACACACGTTGAAACGTGCATCGACTTTTTAAGTTTTATGAAACCTGCGTCAGAGTCAGTTTGCCTCCACGCTTTTTCGTGTGAACGACGCCAACGTGTTTTAAAGTGTCAGATGATCCTCCAGCTCCTCTCCAATGTTACCGTCAATAATGGCAGGTATATTAATCACGAAGAATAAGAGATTAAATGGACGAAAAGACGGTTAATCTTCTTTAACTTCTTTACCTGAAAGAAATAGATTTTAACCTTCTTTAACTTTAAGAAGAAATGGATTTTCCAATTCCCCGTTTACTCGGATACAGCGAAGAGAGCGTAATCAACGTGTACCGATGACAGTGAAAAATTATCGATACTTTGGACTGACGTAACTTTTTTTTTTTTTTTAAAGAAGATCGTACAACGATCCACTCGATCCCGTTTTAAAGCGCGAAGCTTTTACTTTGGAGGTAGTCAGATCGTTCTTTTGCTTTACGAAGACGATTTTACATCAGGTAGCGAGTAGAAAAATTATAAAAATTCTTCTCACCGCTTCATTGAATTTTGAACATTAGAATTGAACGATTTCTTGTCTATTTATTCTAATATTCAATTCAACAAGTTTCGAGAAGTCGTTGTAAAAAGAAAAATTCGATCTTCAAGCTGATGGTGGATGTATGAACAAAATATTTTACGCGTGTTTGAATTTTTATAATTTTCGAGGGTGAAGTAGTCCTTACTTTCCCAATTCGCCACACGAAAGAAAATAAACAAACTGACTGTCAAAAATAGAAGTTCCACGCTTCAAAATGTGATCAAGTGGATCGCCATGCGATCTTTTTTTTTTACAAAATTATGTCACTCGAGGCTACCGACTTGAAATTCTTCGTTGTCGTTGCCAAATATACAGTTACGCTCTTCGCTACGTCCGAAACTCGATCAAACTTCCTAATAGCACGAAATTCCAAAATGCTCCGGTACAACGAACGTCGATGAATATGATATCCGTGAAGAATATCTTTGCGAGCCCCGTGCAAATTGGATCATCGGGTGGAAATTCATCGAGTCGAAGAAAGATCCATGCGCTTCAGAGAGAGAGAAAGAGAGAGAGAGAGAGAGTGCTCTTCGATACACCATCCATCGAACCCTCGCGCCGTCCAATAAAGTCACGTCGACGGTTTTATTAAAACATCCAGGATTGAAAGAATCGTCGAGGAAATACTGACGCGTGTCACCTTCTCTCGCGTATCAATAGCCAAAGATAACGCTCGTTTACAAGCACAAAGAGCTGTTCACTCGCGTAGGAGGAGTTCGTGAATGCCGCCAATCGTTTCCTCCCTCTGTTTCTGTTTCTGTTACGCGACCGCGGAGATCTCGCGCACGGAATGAACCAGCTTTGATGGATGTGTGCCCCGTGTAGCGTCGGCACGCGCGCTCGCATTGAGAAACAGAAGGAATAAAACGGGCGCTATGAATAGTCCGTTAATCAATCAACCGCGAAGGTGGAGCGAAAGATCGATGGTTTTAACCGTGCCTCTGTGTGTGATCGGTTTCCGCAAAGTGTCCGCCTACCTCGCCGTCGAATTAAACGCGCTCCGTGGAAGGGAAAAAAGAGAGAAAAAAAAAGAAAGGGATCGACTTAACGAGCCTGGTCGTGTCCTCCTTTGTAGATCGTGCAGGGTGTCTTGTGAACGCCGGTTCATACGGTTCGGATGCGCAGGATGATACTGCGAATTTTGGTATTTGCAGCAGATGAGATTCGATGAAAATTCGACTGACGCTTTAGTGGCGTTTCAATCTTAGAATGTAATTATCAATTTAATTATATTTCGCGCAGAATGGAATCCAACGTTCTAACTTTTTGGTATTGCTAAAATACTTTGGAATA